AGAGAAAGAGAAAGAGAAACTATCAGAGTACCCAGGAGAAATACCTAACCCAAATATAGGAGTGAGGAGAGATTTCCTGAAAGAGGGAACACTAAACTGAGTCTTTGGGATCACAGGAATTATTCTGATGAAGAACAGCCTAAAGAATTCCACATAAAAGAAATTTAGCCAGGTACAGTGGGGCATGCCTGTAATTCTAGCTCTCTAAGAAGAGGAGACAGGAGGATCCCAAGTTTGAGCCCAGCCTAGGCAACTTAGTGACTTAGTGAAAACTTGTCTCAAAGTATAAAAGGGCTGGGTGTGTAGCTTAGTGCAAAGACCCTGGGTTCAATCCCCAGTGCCAAAAGAAAGGCAACTTGAATAAGACTTTGAGAAAACCTGGATTACTGAACTACAAGTAATTCAGTGTGGCTGGAGTTTGAATTGAAGATGGAAAGTTAAAGGAAATGGCTGGAAAGACAGAAATGTACTAGATTTTTTATTATTAAGTTTATTGGTACAATTTGTATCTACATAACGATCACACTCATCATAGAGAATTTGTATCTGTACATGATATCCTGATTCCTGTTTTCCCCCATGCCTCACCCCTCCCTTCAACCTCTCTTCTCCTCCTTATTTACAAAGCTTTGTTTCCATTTTATCTTTCTTTTCTCATTTTTTCTTTTCCCTTCATTCCTTCCCCCTTCCTCCTGTCTAGTTCTCCTTTCCCTGTAAACAGTCTCTTCATATTTCATGATATCTATTGTACATTAGGATTCTTACTTGTACTTTCAGTTTCTCACACCTAAGAGACAATGTGATATTTATACATGTTTGTCTGATTTATTTCTCTTAAGAGTATGGTCTCAAGGTGCATCCATCTAGCAATAAATATCTCAAGTTTATCCTCCTTTATAGCTGAGTAGTACTCCATTGTATAAAAAACCACATCTTCTTTACCCATCCATTGGTTCAGGGGCATTTGGGTTGTTTCCAAAATTTAGCTATTACAAACTATGCTGCTAGAAATATGGGTGCACATATATCACTGTGATATGATGCTTTTAATTTTTTCAAGAAAATACCAAGAAGGGAAATAGCTGAGTCAAGTAGTGTCAGTAGTCCTAGTTTTTTAAGCAATCTCCACACTAATTTCACAGTGATTGCATCAATTTAGACTCCAATAGTGGAGAAGGGTAGCTTTTTCTCCACATCCCCCTCCACATTTGTTATTGGTTGATGTCTTGATAATAGCAATTCTTTCTGGAATGATACGGAATCATGGCATTGTTTTAATTTGCATCACTCAAATGATGAGTGACATTGAACGTTTTTTCATATATTTATTTGCCATTTGTAATTTTTTTTTATCTGAGAAGTGTATATTAATCTTAGATGCCAGTGTTTGCATTGGGTCTTTAAATTTTGAAGGTCTGATTTTTGAAAATTCTTTATATGTGCTAGATATTAGTCTGTTGTCTGAGCTGGGGATATAGCTCAGTGACCAAAGCACCTGCCTGGCAAGCACAAGGTCCTGAGTTCAATTCCCAGTACCAAAAAAAAATACATAGATAGTCTGTTGTCTGAGGAAAAATTGGCTAGAATTTTTTCCCACTCCATGGATGGTCTTTTCACTCTGTTGATGATTTCTTTTATGTGAGAGCTTTCTAATAAGATGAGATCCCAGTTGTTCATTCTTTGTAGTATTTTCTGTGCAATCAAGGATTTATTCATAAAGTCTTTACCTACAATTATTTCTTCAAGAGTTCTACCTATTCTATCTTCCAGCAGTATTTCTGTTTTAATATTTAGATCTTTGATGTACTCTGATTTTAGTTTAGTGTGTGGTGAGAGAAGTGGGTTGAGTTTTAGTCCTCAGCATGTGGAAAGCCAGTTTTTCCAGCACCATTTATTAGAGGCTATCTTTCTTCCAGTGAACGTGTGTGATCCCACGAAGGTGGTTGAGTGTGTTTGGAGTTTTTTCTGCATCTTCTAATCTATTCTGTTGACCTTCAGGTCTGGTGGTTTTTTTGTTTTGGTTTGGTTTTTTTGCAAATACCATACTGATTTTATCACAGTAGCTCTGTAGTATAATTTCAAAACAGATCCAGGTGTAGTGGCACACACCTGTAATCCCAGCACTCAGAAGGTAGAGGCAGGAGGATCATTGCAAGTTTGAGACCAGCCTGGGCTACAAAGTGAGCTCAAGGCGAACCTGAACCAAGTAGCAAGACCCTGACTCAAAAAAGATGACAAAAAAAAAAATTTCAAGTCAGGGGTTGCTGATGCCCCCTGCCTTGCTTTTGTTGCCCAGAACTGTTTTTGCTATTCTAGGTTTCTTCAGGTTCCAAGGATTTTAGGAATATGTTCTCTAGTTCATATGTGAAGTATGCTAATAGTATTTTGATTAGGATTACATTAAATCTGTGTAACAATTTAGGGCCAAGGCCATTTTCACTATGTTCGTTCTTCCTACCCAAGAGAAAGGGATATCTTTCCATTTTCTGACATCCTCTTCAATTTCCTTTTGCAGAGTGCTATAGTTTTCAATTTAGAGATCCTTTACTTCCTTTATTAGATTGATTCCTAAGTATTTCATTTTTTTTAATGCTCTTGTGAAAGGGGTTATTTCCCTAATTTCTCCGCCAGTGAGTTTGTTATTTGTATACAGAAATATTATTGATTTTTGAGTGTTGACTTTGTATCCAGCTACACAACTGAATTTTGTTATTAAATCTGTAAGTCTTTTGGTGGAGTTTTTGGGATCTTCTATGTATGCAGAGTATCGTGTCACCTGCAAATAATGATAATTTAACTTCTTTCTTTCCTATCTTTATTCCTTTTATTTCTTTCTCTTGTCTAATTGCTCTAATGTTTCCAGAACTATATTGAATAGGAGTGGTAAGAGTAAGCATCCTTGTCTTATTACTGATTTTAGAGTGAAAGCTTTCAGTTTTTGAGCATTTAATATGTTGATTGTTGGTTTGTCAAAGATGGCTATTATCAGATTGAGATAAAGACCATCTATTTCAAATTTCTGTAGGGTTTTTATCATGAATGGGTGTTGGATTTTGTCAAGTGCTTTTCCTGTGTCTCTTCAGCTGATCATGTGATCTTTTTCCTTGGCTCTATTGATATGGTGTATTACATTCATTGATTTTTGTATGTTGAACCATCCCTGCATCCTTGGTAAAAATCCTATTTGGTGATGGTGTATAATCTTCTTGATGATTTGCTGCATTCTATCTGATAGTATCTTATTAAAGATTTTTTGCATCAATGTTCATTAATGAGATTGGCCTATATTTCTCTTTTTTGGTTTGGTCCTTTTCTGGTTTTGTTATCAGGGTAGTACTTGCTTCCAGTAATGAGTTTGGGAGTACTTCTTCCTTTTCAATTTCATTGAAGAATTGAGGAGTAATGTCATTAGATCTCTAAATTTCTTGTAGAATTAAGCAGTGAATCCATCAGGACTTGGGCTCTTCTTAGTTGGTAAGTTTTTAGTTACATTTTTATTTCACTTACTGATATTGGGTTATTTAGAATTTTTTATATCTTCTTGATTCAGTGTTGGCAATTCATATGTACCTAGATATCTGTCCATTTCTTCTGTATTTTCCATCTCATTAGAGGTTCTCAAAATAGGTATTGATGATCTTCTGGATTTCTGCAGGATCTGTTGTGATTTTATCCTTTTCATTACTAATTGCATGTATGTGAGTCTTTTCTTTCCTTTTTTGATAAGGTTGGCTAAGGGTTTATCATTTTTATTTAATCTTCAAAAAAACAACTCAATTCATTGATTCTCTGTATTGTGTCCTTAGTCTCAATTGCATTAGTTTCTGATCTGATCTTTATAATTTCCTCCTTCATAAAAGCTTTGGGCTTGACTTGTTCTTTTTCTAGAAGTTTGGGTTCAACATTAAGTTGTTTATTTATTTGAGCTTGTT